CCGCTGCACGCACGGCTGACTGCGCGCCTCCTGCGCGCGCATCATAGTGCCCGGCAGAGGCATTAGGGGCAGCTTTTCGCGCCAAGCCGCAGCGAGATAATATTGCTCCAACGAACGCGTCGCTCCTTTTGCCTGCAGCGTCCAATTGGTCTCCTCTCATTAGCCATTGGCGTGCACTATGCCCATCTTTCCTTGTATACTACCCCTTCCGACCGTAATAGTAATGTCATAGCTGCAGCTATAATCCTTCCACGCTGCAGGCACGCATGAACGACTCTGCGTATCGAGATAAGCTCGAGCTTGGGAACCCTGAGTAATAATATCTGCAAGCCATCATGGGCGAAACCGAATCGTCCACGCCTCGCTCCACCGCCGAACCACAGCTCAAGGCGGCCAAGGACAAGAACTGTCCCTTTTGCGGCCAGGCCTTCACCTCGTCCAGCCTGGGACGCCATCTGGACCTGTACATCCGCCCCAAGAATCCAAAGGCGCCCGATGGCGTGCACAACGTCGACGAGATACGGAAGCTGCGAGGCGGCATCACACGGCGGCAGGCCAAGGGCAGCGTGTCAACACCGCGGAGAGATGACAGCGGCACGAGCACGCCCGCGAACAAGAAGCGCATAACGAGCGAGGATTCGGTCCTTGTGCAGAGCCCGGAAGACGACGATGAGCCGCTCGAGGTGGGCAAGACGAGGGGGCAGTTCAAGGATGTCAGCTGGGGAAGCGGCCACCGGCCCTCACGACTCAACACCAAAACACCAGACCCTCGCCGGGACGTATCGCGGCAGTCGCGAAAGGCCGAGCTGGACCAGAGGCAGAAGTCGAATGAGGAGACTGAGATTGCGAGTGCCACCGAGATGGCGCTGCGGGAGCTGCTGAAGAGCGTGCGAGAAGCGAAGTATGTGCCTTATATTCACTCACCATATATCCTGCTAATAAAAACAGCGCAAAAGCATCCGGCTCCGGCCTCTTCGAATTCGACCCTTACACCCAGAGCTTCCCCTCGCTGTGCCTCCAGATCCTCCCCGCGCCCTCTACCCTCTTCTCCCCCACGCCCTTTCCCACGTCCGAGTCATGGTCCATCACCCCGCCGGGACAGAAGCAGTTCGAAGCGCTGAATAAGCAGGTCCGCGAGCGTCTGCTTGCCTACCAGCGCCAGCGCCAGATCAACCAGGTCTATCCCTCGGGCTCACACTCTTCCGCTCCTTCCACCACCACCTCGCCCCTGCCCACCCCGCCGCTCTTCGACCACGACCCACAACGCCTCTTTGGCCACATTGCAGACGCCTTCCACCACTGGACACAGCAGTCAGATAAGACGAGGCAGGAGTGCTGGCAGGTCGAGATACTGCGCTGCTATGCCCGCGCCGACGACAGGCGACGGGAAGCCGAGGTGCAGCTGGGGAATGCACGCAGGGAGATTGAATACCTGAAAGCCAGCCGCTGGACCTCAGGTGCCCCCGATGTATCGCCCATCAGCATCAACCTTGGTACCGACACGGCCAGAGAGCTTGCCAAGCACGGCATGGACTATCGCAACTGGGACTACGACCGCCTCATCGACAAGTGGCGGACCGCTATACGCGAGAACAGGGCCTCGGTCTCCGGTATGGGCGCGCAAAAGCCATTGCCCGGTGGTACCAGTACCAGAAGCTGCTCCATGGCTAGCATCCCACCACAATTCGCTACTGTGAACCAGCCCAGGCAAGGCAGCCCAATCAAGGTTGAGTCCAACATGCCCTTTAGCGCGCCGCCCACCGTATGTGGTGATGGAGACTGCGATCAGGTTGATGCGGAAGGCGACGATGACGACGACGACATTGACCTGACGCCCCAAACAATTGAGGAGGATGACTCGATGCATCAGATGCAGCATCAGGCCCAGCAACAGGCCTTGCATCACCCCCAGCCCCAACATCACCACGGAGCACCCCTCCAGCCCACCCCGCCACATCCTTCGCAACAGTTTCAGCCACACATGCAACCTACCCAGCACATCACGCAGGCCCAGATTGCTCAAGCGCAGGCTCAAGCCCAAGCATGGGCAGCCGCACGCCAGCACATGAACCAGTCGCGCAACCAAGACTTCCGGCCCCACCAGCAGCACCAGCTCTCGCCCCATGTGCAGCACGTCGGCTCAGCTGACAGCAGTCGCCGAGAATCGCTAGCCATGATGGACCCCCACGCCATGAACCAAAATAACATGAGCGGCATGGGCAACTCCATGGGCATGTCAAGCGGCATGGACGGTCTCGACAACCACCAAGACCAATTCCTGCGCATGGACATGGGCATGTCAACGGGCTTTGTCGGCTCCAACGACCCCAGCGTCTCGATGGGTTGATCGAACTCTCGAAACTGTTTGATGCTGTTCATAGAACAGCGAAAATTGTCACCAAATCGGCGTCGGACTCTTCGGGCAAAGGCGTAACGTGATACACGGAACGCGATACACGGAACAGTCCACACTCTACAGCGATATTTCCCTTTTCTCCATCTCCGACATATCTCATATCTACCGCAAATTTTCGTTTGTCTTTCTTATCTTTCTAACTACTACTACTCAGCTCGGCTTTTCGCTATACCCATTATACCCGGCCTTGCAGCTTGATACCCCCAGTTCAATTTCCTTTATCAACCAGAACGGTATTTTTACTTACCGCAACATCTCTTACACATATATACGTACTAATAAGCCTCTTCTCCTCTTTCTTCTTTTTTGTACTCAGCTATCGAGATTGTTATCAGCATCGTTCTTGTTTTTCCTATGTAGATGTCTACACAACATGCCTTCGTTGGCACTGGCGGGCAAATGTCGTTGTTGCACCGTATCTTGGGAGGTCTTTTGTGCTGTTTTAAGTTGTATATACCCAACACCAAACTTTTCACTTGTTAGATATTAGAAAAATATGGGGTGGATTGGATTGGATTGGATAGCATGGGGGGTGGAGTGGGTGGAAGAATCGAATTTAGAAATACTTTGAAAACGTGGACGTTTTGTGATGCGAGGCTAAAGATGTGGTGCTAGTATTGAATGTGAATATCGCGATCGAGACTAAGATGGCCATGAGCGCTCCGGCTCTGGTTTAAGTATCGCAGCTGGATGACTCCATACGTAAGATGTAGATGAGTCGTCTTCTCCGGCATCGCCGTTTCCCGTCTGCGCAGAGGGTGAGACGGAGGGTTGATCGGGCGTAGAGGATTCGTCTCCGGAAACGTAATAAGGGGAGCATGGAAAGCTGGAGGTGAGGATGTGGGCGTAGTAGAGTATGGAAAAGTGCTAATGGATTGCAAGGTAAGCTAAATATTTGAGCGTAGTCTGGTGGGAATCCGACCAGGTGCATGGAGAAGCGGCTGGGTGTCGCATGTGATGCGCGTCGTGGACTGGTGACGAAGGCACCGGAATGAGCAGCTGGGGATACAAACTACTGAATGGAAGTCGCGGATCGTTTTTATACTTGGAGCGACATACTGTATTGCTGATCACTCTCAACTGGAGAAAAAACCAGAAACGAAGGACCTTGACAGCATGTCTGGAGCACCGCGTGGACGAGGTGGAAGCCGAGGAAACAGTAATGGCCGGGGAGGAAGGAGTTTTACTAACTTCGGTAGCGGTGGAAGAGGAAGAGGAGGCTTCGGTAACACTTGGAACGGAGGAGCATTCAATAATTTCCTAGGTGGAAGGGGTAGAGGAGTTGGCTACGGCCTTCCGGTCAGAGGCATGGGAGGTGATATTAGGAGAGAAGAATCCTCATCCGTTCCAGAACAAAATGCACAGATCGAGGACTGGTTCAAAGATAACCAGCACATAATACCCACGGAACCAAAAGCCGACAGACTGGCAAAGAGTCGGCAACCAGAAACTGACCCCGTTCCACAGCAAGATGCACGCCCCAAGAACGACTGGATCAAAGACAACCCGCAACTGATACCCCGAGAGCCGAAAGCTGACAGACTGGCAAAAAGTCGGCAAGCAGACACCAAGCTCGTTCCCGAACAAGACGCACGTACCAGGAATGATCGGATCAACGAAAATCAACACAGGATACCCACGGAGCCAAAGGCTGACAGACTAGCGAAGAGGCGGCAAACAGAAATTGAACAGGATCTCTACAGAGACGCCGCAAGACGGGGATACAGGCTTCTACGTCCCACACCGAAGCATCCACGCCGGGAAAGCAGAGACGCACATCCTATCCCAACACACCGTCGTTCACCTTCACCGGAGGAAGAACGAGAATATACCTCTTCTTACCCTCCACTTCCCCCATCACTAGCAGCGAACGTACGTCCACCGCCGGGGAACCTACCACCAACATCTGTCACCCCATCTGCCGCTCCATCTGCTAGACCTGCGCGAAGGGAAGCATGTTCGACTAATCCTACGGAGAGGACATTTCGCAAGGTAAGCGCGGCTTCAATGTCAACTCCATCGGGCTCAACGGAGGACGATGATGGCAATCTCTACGATCCAAACAAGACTGAAGAGGAGAAAGAGAAGATACGGCAGGAAATCCATCAGAAAAATATGGGTATTCGTTATCAATGGTCTGGTCCAAACCTGGATCCTGAGATGCGAGATGTTGAGCGTGGTTAGATCGGTATCTTATACGCTGTTTCCTGTGAAATTGGATGAAGCAATCTCGTCATACCTAGGTATACAAGATAATCACGTCTCTCGCGAATGTCTGAGCTCTTGCGATGTTGATGAGGAAGGTACTGTGCCGATAAGTGAAGGTCACCGAAACGTGCCTTCCTCATCGTTGGGGGTGATTGCCCCTTCAACCTCTCGATGACAGCATTTTCCTCATTCAGCCCATGACGTCCGAAACTTACGATAGCAGCTCATCTGCACCTGCCGCCAATGACGACAACCATTCCAACCCACACGAAGTCACTGCCGCGTCCTCGCCTTCACCTCTTCCGCATTACTGTTACCGCGGTGCATCACTCAGCGTACGACATTCTCGCAAACAGTTCCTTCGAATTCACACAGCATGACGGCTACCACTACAGAACAGACGACTACTACAACCATTAGCAAGCATGGAGCGGCGAAGAAGTGGCTGCAACGGCATCTTCGCAAAGTGGCATCGCGACAGACCTTGAAGAACGACGAGGGACCAATTGAGATACGGCGAAAACCATCAGTCAGGCGGCCGCGTACGGCACCTTCAACTGGAGCAACACCGAGCCTGCAAGATGCAACAGCAGTACCCCCGCTCCCGATACTTGTAGAGCGGGTGTCGCCTCGACCGCCAGTTCTACCTCCTCTTCGCCCAGCGAGACCCGATTCTGGCGTGATACGGGACGTCAATGCATGGCTCGATGCTAGCATGAATACGCCTTCACCCCCGCTCATGGGAGGCCTTTCGTATTGGAGAGCAGCGACAAATGTAGGTGCCAAAGACTCAGCCGTGGCTCAGCATGCTATTCCCGTGATTGGAGCACCCGATGTCGTCAGACCATCCACAGCCACCAGTCAACACGGAAAGTCGTTCCTTCGTTGCGCCAAAAAGATGCAGGTCCAGATGCCTTCGCTTTTACGAACCAAGTCGCAGCGCCAGGCATGCCGGAAGCAGATCAACAGACAGTCGGCATCGATGCCACTCTTAGCTATCTCCTACGAGGACGTTGCGGAAGCCCCTGGTACCATGCTCATGTCCCGATCTGGATCGCTTCGTCGCCCCGTCACAAGGCCATCGACACGACATCCTTCGACGCGCGCCAGTGCGCTTCTGTCAATCGACCAACAGTCGCAGCTACCCTCCCGGATGGGCACGCCAGCGAGTGCACGACTCGGCGATACAGAGAGCGTCTTTGAGCGCCGTCTCAATGCCATATTTATGCGCACGGCACGAAGCGCAGACAGTACCCGGCCATCGACAGCAGCGGCCGGTCTCATCCGCGAAGACTCTATGGGCGACCTTTCCGACGCTCCGACATACTTCTCGGGACCTCCACCACCTTCTTACCGGTCGCGCCCTGAGTCTCTGCTCAGCACTTCTTCTTTCGGCTGCATCGATGGCATGAACCCTACACAACGACAGATCAGTCAGCAGCGAGCGGCATTACAACGGGGAATGAGGTGCAAGCTGAAGAGATTCGCTCAAGGACTTGCAACATGAGAAGCGACAAGGCAGACGCGAGGTGAGACACGAGACCACGATGATGACTGACGAAGAGATGACCGGAAGACACATACCATATGTGAGTACATGACTATACGACTGTTTACCTTGGAGAGCTGGCATCTTCATACCCATAACAGGGAGGTTCATTCTGTCAGTCGGTACACTGAGGGATGCGCAGGCGCGCGGTATTTAGCACAACTGCATCAGATATAACGTAGGGCCTTAGTTTACAATAAATAATGCAGATACAGCACAGGATGTGTCGTGAAGTGATGTTGGAATGCGCGGTAGTGAAGAGGTGAGAGCACGGTCATATGACGTGGGGACGGGCCGCGGTGAACCTAAAGCGGTTGGGGCGTTTTCACCGCCTACTCATTTGATGGCCGGGCATGGACTCCACCATCTCCATCAACATCATTGGGCCCAACGTGGCACGCTGTACCACGTCTAACGCTCCAACGCACACAATTGAATCTCCATGGCCGCCCGTTGATCCGCTCGCCTGCCAGCACAACGAAACCCAGCTGGCTGCTCCACTCGACTCCCACGATCCGCAGACTTGCATCATTACGTGCAGCTCCCACAGCCAAACGGCTCCCCGACCTCACCTCCCTCGACACGCCGCGCGCCCGCGTAGGCGAACGTAAGCATGGCCTCGGCAGACGACTCTAATTCGCGGCCCCAGAGGCCAGCCGCCATGACCAGACAGTCGTCGTCGCAGTCGCACATCTCGCAGTCGCCGTCCGAGGGCGCCCAGCGCTCAGCCCATCACAAGAGCCAGCGCCATCATGTCGTCGGCCAACGCGTGCAGCGGAATACGTCCTTCGGCAAGAACCTCAACAAGCTGAGCAAAGCCGAGAAGCAGGCCCAGCAGGCGCTCCAGGGCGCAGAAAACACCGGGCGACACCACCGCCGCTCGCAGTCGGGCAATTCCATTTCGGCGCCCAGCAGCCCACACGCGCGTCCCGGAATGAAGCGCCATGCGTCTTCCGGCGCCGTTGTGAGAGCAAACACCCAGCAGGCAAATCTGCGCAAAAACCACTCGAGCGGCCATCTCCCGCCGCGGCAAGGGCATGCGAAACACGCGCTGAAGGGGTCCAAGAACGAGAACGCTACTTCGAAGCGTGCGCTCGCGACTCCCTCTCGATCTCGGCAAAGTTCTCCGGAGCCACACGCCGCGGTCCACTTTGACATGCCCAATGACGACGAGGAAGGAGACGAGGGCGGGTGGACCGAAGAGAGTGCGTCACAGTCGCCCACTACTACCCGATCCAACACGCGCTCCAACTCGGTCATACTCGAGGCACAACACAGAGCGGCGGAGATCAACATGGAGAAGAATAGAGGAGAGCCGCAACAGTCGGCTGGTATAGTTCGAGAAGCGCCCAGCCAGGCGACTCAAACGCTCACCGACCGCACGCGCACAAACACGCAGGTCAACGGCGGGAGCTCCTATCAACATTCTCGGCCTCCAGATGCTGATATGATCACATCGCGACTACTACAGCGCAGCGCCTCACACCATGTTGCTCCTCAGACATCGTCAGTCGCTGCGACCGTCGTATCCTCCTCCGATCGTCATAATCTGCTCAGTCACACAGCTGGGTCTGTTGGATCTACCTTGGTCGACACACCGGGGCACAACCTGGTGTCGCGCTTCATGGACGGAGATGGTTCTGCTGGGACACCTCACGATGGCGAGTACATGGCTGCGCATCAGCTCAAAGACGACACCGATGAAGGGGAGGTGGACAAGATCAAGCGCAACAAGTCCATGCCAAACTTCAAGGGCGGCGCGGACACACCCTCCAAGACGCCTCAGCGCTCTGGCACGACCACGCCAACCAACCTACCCCCATCGCGGACACAGCAGAAGCTCATGCTTCAACGTGCGTCGTCCAACATTGAACCGCAGAAGCTCGTTCCCGTAACGCTACCCCGCACGGGCGGTCCCACATACCTTCAGTCCAGCATCCACTACAATGGCAACGGGGAGGGGCGTCTAGATCCACGCCTGCAGCAGCAGTTCAACCACGTCGCGGTTGAGTACAATGTCGTGCGAAGATACCGCAACCCAATTGCAGACGCGCTCGCAAGAATCTACCAAACCCCTGGCATGTCACGCAAAATCCGCGTACCCAAGTCGCACGGCGCAAACGGCTTCACGACAGGAGCCAGCAGCCTGAGCACAAGTTTCAACGAAAGCGGCGTCGAAACAGATGGGACGGGCTCGCGGAGATCACGAGTCAGTTTCGACCATGATGCAGGTCGCGGCAAGACTAGTCGCGACGAGAACGACTTTCAACAGAGTTTCGAGAGTGACCAGGCGCGCAGCCGAAACGAAGCCGAGGAGATCTGTCGCCGTTTATGGGAGAGTGCCGAAGTAGTCGAAGCCGACTGAAGACAATAGTGTGGTTTGTTTGGCGCACGGCGCTGATCAAACATTCACGACTCGCAGCGCGGCGCTCTGTTTGCATCTTTGCGACTATTGTGTGAGGGATTGCCAAGGCTGTTTTACTGTGCAGGTTCGTGCGTTCGCTTGCTTCCCTTTCTCTGCATTTTGCCGTAGTCTGCGCTGGGGGATGAGGGAATGAGCGTCTTTGTTCTCCCATCGTGGACTGCACGCACGGGTTGCTATGGCGCAAGGGGGCTTTGTCTAGTCTGGCTGGAAACAGCATGGTGTTGGGGAAGAGGGCATTTGCGAATATTGTCGCGCCGGCAATGAAGCCGAAGAGACATGCATCAAGTCGTGGTGGTGGTGGTCGTTGCTGCTCTGCATTTGCATTTTGCGCTCAAACTAACTTTTGCGCGTGGCACAGAGTCGTGGTTCCCCGTCCTAAACCTTGCGACTGGCGGAGGCGTTTGGCATGACACGACACACGACTGTTGGACCCAGGAACGAAAGCGAGTGCGATGGAAGATGATTTATTGTCAAATTTGCGCGCGTGCACCCTCGATTTCAATCTGCCCGTCCGCAGCCGAATTGCAAGCATGCGAGCCTCTCCAAGGTCGATTGCACAGGCGCGCGACTTGCTTGGCTTGAATTGCTTCATTTGAGAAAGAGCGGAAGTTAAGAGCTGGATTTGCAATGGTCTCAATGCGATGGATGGGTCACGATGAAAAGGCGGAAATGAGCAAGAAAGAAGCCCATATTGTGTACTAATAATGGTAGGGGTAGTGTGCGGGCTAGGTAGGGAGCCAATCATGCGGCATGCTCGCTTGTGTAATTGTAATTTCAATCTTGCAGCGGAAGATCGTTACTTGTTCCTGTGTGTCAGTGGGCTTTTTGATTTTCCTTCACGATATGCGACTTCGCATTGATGGTGATGTGTTGGCGAGCGCATCTGGACGCTTCACATGCTACTGTGAAGATTACTTTGAGTCACAAGATGCATTGAGTGCATATGTTGAGCAGTACTACGCAAGCAAACTCTTTGCAAGAAATTCTCTACACAGTTCCACACCACCATCATAGCAATTCTCTCCATCGCTTCGTTGTACCGTACCGTCTCTTCCGCGTCCAGCACAGCGCGCCAAGGTGTCCAGGCAACAATAGCCTCGTCTTGCCGCCGACCACGTTGTTAACCTCACCCGTGGTCTATAGATGGGTAGATGGGATGGGTCTGAGACGAAGGGCGCTGGTTGGCTTACCGTGTTACCCAGAACACTTGTCGCAACGGGTAGCGTGCCACGAGTGCGCGAGCTGAGAAGTTAGAAAGGTGCGGTGTAATAGTACGACGAAATTTGTCGTGCTGGCTCCAGTCAAGTCACGTTTCCACCCTGAGTGGCCCGCCCGCCCGGTGTACAGCGTCCAGCAATCGTGCTGGCCTAGCTGCCTCCAGTCGCGTTTCCGCCTTGGAGGCCGACAGACGGCACGATTCGCTGCGCATTGTTTCAGCGTCCGTGCGGGCGAGGCGCGACACTGTGGACAGTCCGACTCAGGCTGGAGTGGAATGTGGAACGCATGGGGTGAGAGAAGTTGCCTGGGGTGATGGCCGTTGAAACTTGGTTGCACCTTGAGCATGGTGAGGATCATGGGGCGTGAACCTTGAGTTCGCAGATGGGCGATGACAGCATCTCACCTGGGCAGCGACTTTCCTCAAGGTTGCCCCTAGCGATTGGAGTGAGAAGTGAGGTCACCACCCGCCCGTCACGAGGATGCAGCAAGCGTGCAGCACGTTGGCCATAGAGTGGGTACCTCGGTAGTTCAGCGTGCAGCGCGCACCTCAGGCCAACCACAGGAGCGCGCGCGGACTGGGATGCAGTGCAGAGATTTGCCGTGGCCGCCATTGCCAAGCGCCAGATCGGCAGCTTCCTTGCTCAGGTACTCCCGTTAGCACGCCCGAACCTGCGTTAGCGCGCCCAGGGGACCGAAATTGCGCTTTGGCAGTGGGAAATTGCACTGGCGGCAAGGATGCCAGGAACACGATACAAGGCTCCGGGGGCGGCCCACCTTGCTCCCTGCCTTGCCCGTTGTTTCCCCTTCACCCTCCTCAAACGTTGCGAGACAAACCCTCTTTTACTCTCCCTCGCTCTCTCACGATCTTTTAAAGCTTTAAGCTTACCCACACTCATTACATTGACAAGTACTATCCTTGATATCTCACTCTCTCTATCACTTGGTCCAAGACTATCCACACTGCTCTCTCGCATTCCAAACAAAAACAAAGCACTGTCGCTCATCTAAAACGCACCTGCATAACACTTGCAACTCACCACTCTTCTGATTCGACATCGAAGCACTGCGCATTCACAGTCGCATATCCCACCACCACAACTACTACCGTCCTTCACCACCAACCACCAAACCAACCACTAAAATGCGCTCCTTCACCCAAATCATCACCGCGCTCTTCGCGCTCCTCGTCTGCGCCTTCGCCCAGGAAGACCAGTACGACGCCACCGTCTACATCACCTCGACCGTCTACCGCGTCAACACCGTGACCGCGTCCTCGTCATCCCCCGCCGGCTACACCGCCGCAAACAGCACCAGC